TTAAATAATAAAGAAAGAATCCCAGCATTTCTTCCGCACCTCCACTGGCTTATTGAGGAGGGGAGAGAAGGAGGTGGGGCCCTTTAAGACAGGCTATAAAAGACCGAGGGCTCAGGTCTACACCGTCACCTTCTCTCAGCAGCCCTTGAGAGATGTCGCCAGGCCTGGGGCTGGCCTCGCGGCTGGGACAGGAACACTATGGGGTGGGCTGTACACCAGCACCATGCCCTGCCCGCTGCCTCCCTTAGAAATGCTAACCAATGAAGCTTCTCAGGTTACCTGCTCTGAAATCCCCAACGTCCTTTTAACAGGCAGATAATTCAAAGATACTTTCAGCTTGTGTTTACTTTTCTACAAGTAGGGCCAGTATAAATTATACAGAAGTAAATAAAAAAAAATAACTGATTTGGGAGAAGCAGCCAGGAAATTCGATGGCATTTCCTAGCCACACGGGTCTCCGTGTTTGGACTTGGCGTATCTGGCCTGACACAGCTCCCTCAGAATGGGGGCCAGTGGGCGATGGGAGCCCATGAATGGCAGCCTGTTCTCGGAGTGGCTTCGCTGGGGCCTAGCTAGGGCCAGGCGGCCTGGGGCCAGCCTGCAGGGGTTGAGAGGGCACGAATGGCCAGTAATGAAGGGCCACTTGATGGATTTCCCACTGTGAGCTGGCCTTGAGACGAGTTAAGGCCGTGGGACCCAAGGCCACGGCCAGAGCCTTGAGATAAGTTAAGGCTGTGGGATTTAAGGCCACGACTACAGAGCATGTTTGTAGTATGCAGTAAATAATTGCTCCACGCAGGCGTCAGTTATATAAGATTTAGAACAAAAAAAGTAGAAGTACGCATGTGTTAAAAATATTTTATAAGCCTAAAGAACAAAGAAACTCAGACCGCGCATGTGCTGACAAAAAACAGATAAAACAGGACAGGTGCATCATAGGTGTGCACCTCCCTATAACAATAAAGTGTTGTTAACCCCATGGTGTCTCCAGCTACAGACTGTCCAGGAGTATGACAACTCCTCGTGCATTTTTTCGTTTGGGCCGCTCACCTCCTAGAACCGCACATCAGCCTCCCTCGGCTGACACCCGCCGTTTTCGAAGCTGCATGTTTCTCATTTAACACCTCCAGTGAGAACCCCTAGGGGCCCGTCTTCTCTCAGGGGACCCTCCCCAGAGGCAGCAGAGCATAGGAGAAACTTGACCCCTAACTGTGATAGGAGAGGCCTTGAGGAAGACAAGCTCTCTCTTTCATTTGTTCCATCAGCTGGACAAACATACACCACATTCTGCGAGGGAAACAACAGCTTCACAGTCAAGGGCTCTGTGAGACTCTCACAGAGAAAATGCAACAACCACGAAGGCAGGTGGAGAAGAAAGCCAGCTACCTCTCCGCCTGGCCGGGGAAGACTGGCTTGGGCAAGACACAAGGCCACGGCCGCGTCCCGTCGGTGGGCGGGGGCTTCCCAGAACACAGAGCGAAGTCAGAAGGCCTAAGAAACAGGGCAGCGGCCACTGAGCAAGGAGACGTCTCTGGACCACTTGGAGGCTGATAAAAGGGGCTCAATGCTTTGTGAGCCCGAGGTCTTTTTGTTGTTGTTGTTTAGGTTTTTTTTAATTCTTACTTTTTATTGACGTGTAGTATATTTAGTGTTACTTTCATGTGTACAGAACCTGAGGGCTGGAAGGCAGGCCCTGCCTCCATTCTAGCCATTCAAGAAACACATGTCAAGCTTTCCTACCAGCACCACCAAATAACCACCACCCACATGGCATTTGCCATGTGCCACTTGACATGCATTATCCCACTGATTCCTGGATAGTTGAATAATATCCAGTTTTACAGCTGAGGAAACGGGGCCCCCGGGAGATGAGTGATGTGCCCTGAGACCACATGGTTTATCAATGACGGGAGCTGGTGGGCCCCAGGCTGCCTGATTCTAAATCCATACAGCGAATGATGCTCTTTCTCTACCATGACTCCCTCAGTGACGGACAGCAAGACCTCGTGATCCAAATCACAATTTCATCCATTCAAGCAATATTTCTTGAGCACCTTCCATGTGTCAGACATTGGGCTGTGTCCTTGGAAAACAGCAGTTAACAGACGGAGTCTGCTGCTACAGAATTCGGAGTCCAGGGGGCAGGAGATGAGAAGGAAACACATAAATATAGAACATGCCCCGTGGTGACAAATGCTAAGATGAAATAATGTTCTGAAGAAATGTCTGAAGAGATGACATTCAGATGGATACTTGAATGAAGAGGAAGTCATGCTTATCTGGGGAAAGAGCATTTCAGGAAGCAGAGAGAGGAAGTGCAAAGGGCCTGAGGCAGGATCGTACTTGGCATGTTCTCCAACTAACAAGGAGGTTAGACTGGAGTGAGTGAGGTGGGAAGTGGTAGGATTTGAGATGAGAAAGATACCAGGGGCCCAGACGAGGCAGGGCTCCATACAAGACTTTGGATTGATTCCAAGTGAGATACAAAGCTACTGGAGAGTTTAACAGGAAAGTGATATCATCTGATGACTTTCATTTTAATGGTATTATTCTGACTGCTACCTTGAGGACAGACTGAAGGAAAGCAGGGGCAGAAGCAGGGAGACCAATGAGGAGGCAACTGCAAAAACCCAGTGGGGAGATGATGGCCTCTCAGACCAAGGGGAGGGCAGTGGACGAGAGAAATGAGCAGAGCTTGGATATATTCTGAAGGTAGAACTTACAGAATTGTTCGAAGGATTGGATGTGGGGTATGAGATGGAGAGATGAGTTAAATGTGACTCCAATCAAAGGAGGCAGCTGCCTATTACTGAGATGGAGACACTAGGGATGGAGCAGGGTGAGGGGAGATTAACAGGTCAGCTTGAGACCTGTTTTGTTTGAGATTCCTATTAGATATGTGAAGTGAAGGTATCAAGTAGGCAGCTACCTAGACAGGTCTGAAACCCGGTCCCGGCTGGAGACACATTTGGGATCGATCAGCACATAGGCTGTATTTAAGACCAAGAGACTGGAAAAGATCCCATAGGGACCACGTGTAGGGAGAGAAATTGTCTGAGATTGGAGTCCTGGGGCCCTCAGATGTTTAAGGAATTGAAGAGTTGAAGAGAAGGGGATATCTAGCCAAAGAGACTGAGAAGGAGTGGCAGGGAAGAAACCAGGAGGGAAACTGGGACAGTGTGTGAGAGCTTATGGAATCTAAGTGAAGGAGGTATTTCCAAGAGGAGGGAGCCAGCAGCTGCAGATAGTGTCAGGAGGTCAGATGAGATGAGGACAGAGAAGGACCATTTGATTTGGAAAGTAGAGGTCGCTGGCTGGCCTGGAGAAGAGAGGTTTCCAGCAGCGATGAGGACGAACAGCTGAGTGGACTGAATGCAGGAGAGCAGGAGAGGAGAGGGCAGAGTGTGTGCACGGACACCAGTTTTGAGTCTTGCTTCAAAACGAAGCTGAGCAATGGGACAATAAGCCAAGAGCTGGTTTGATCTCAGGTTGGGTTCAGCAGGCAAGCAGGATGCAGGGCCTGAGGGAGTATGAGCTGCTGGTGCTGACAAGGGAGTGACTGATGAATCCAAGCCAGTGGGTTCCGAAATCACTCAGAGTGGGAGGAGGGCTTGTCTCTGCATGAAGAACCCAGGGTTTTGACCCTCCCAAGGAGCCAGTTAGATCCTCTGAGTCCCACTTATCACATGTATTGGCTCTTAACACATGTCAGTTCCCCAAATTCCTGCTTCTGCCCTAAAGTACTCAGCACACTCTTCAACAGCACCTCCCTACTCTGCACCCAGCCCCTTATGCCGGGTAATCCTTTAGTACCTGCGGTGACTATACCCACTTCCACACGTTTCCGCAACTCCCAAGAGTCTCTAAGAAAAGTGCATCACCTGATGGAAAAGTTTTTTCTAGGAAACAAGCAAATTCTGAAAAGTTATACGAGATAATACACCAACTCCCTGTCCAGATCCAAAGAGTCTGGCGAACCAGGGTGATGGCGTCTGAAAACAGGTGAGCCCTTAACCCAGCGGCAGAGGCCCCACCTGGAGGCACGTCCCTCCTCCAATGGGAGCAAGGTACTCAGCACAGGAGCTTGGCAACCACCATAAAGAGCTCTTTAAATTGACTAGACCCTAGTCTATTTGCACATTTCAAAAAGGTGACAAGAAAAAACAAATATAACAGCAAGACTGAATCTATAAAAGTGAATCCAGCCTGGATTATATTTGTTTTTATACCAGTATCGTCACAGAATGTCCTGGTCTGTATTTTTATGGAGGAAGGGGACCCGTGGAGGCAATGTCTATAACGTCTAGGGGCCAGGAAAGTCATATCACAGTCCTTGCTGTCTCCAGACCTGGATATTTTGAAGAGCAGCTTTTGACATAGCTCTCTTGAAATAATTGCTTTGAAATGAAAGAATGCTTATTTTTAAAAAAATTACCCAATAGTGTGTGTAACAGACACCCCTGATGCTGTTACAAGAGGGGAGATGGGGAGAAGGATGCAGCGAGAAGAGAGACTTCTGCCTCTGGCCCCACCCCTGCTCCCCAGATCCCCCACTACTCACTGAGAGGAGGCTGGGTGTACCTATAGGGGACAGGTGTGCTCTTACGGGTCATTGGGCCCTGTCATTGGGCCCTGTCAGGTCACTGGGCCCTGTCAGGCCAATAAGTAATTGTAGCAGCAGTAGTAGTAATAATAATAATAACAGCAATAATAGTGATAATGGTGTTAATAGTGAGCAGTTGTGGTGCTCTTATTGGACACTGAGTAATGAACCCAGCATTTAACACAATCAAGGACATAATGAAAGAGGTAAACCAATTTGATTGAACAATGTCCATTGTCACACAGTAAACCTCTGAGAAAACGGTGTGGCTTCTCACTAGACAGCGTGACGTGCCTTCAGCAAATACACACACGTCTAAGAGCATCGAGGGTATCAGAACTGGTCTTTCGGGGATAGCTGGATAGGGAATTCCAGCCCCTCCCTCCCGCATGCTCACCATTCCTCAGGATCACGTCTTCACTCTGGCTCGAAGGGCTCAGGCCCCGGGGGCTCTTGACATTGCTCAGAGCTCTGGAGAAGTGTTCATCCACTACGCTGCTAATGTCCCCTTGGAAATAGGTGAAAAGGACACAGCGGGAATTCCATTCAGTCTTTACAGGACTCTGCATCTGGACGGCGGTCTTCCTCACTTCTTCCATCGTGGCACCGGAGGCAGCTGCAGATCAAATGCAAAATGTCACTCTTTTTCCAAGCGGTTTGGTTATGGCTTGGGTGAGTGGCATCCTTGAGGGCAAGCAGTTTGCTCCTAAGGTACAAGCTCTCTGCTTGGGGCCCCAGGGAGCCACCCAGCTCCCGAGCAGTGTTCAGGAAATAAGACAGAGCTCTATGAAGTGCTGAAGGGGCCTGCTTTACAAATGAGAAAAATTGTCTGAGAACATGATTAGAGGAGCATCAGAAAGTGAAAAAAAAAAAGACACTGAGGCCAAGGAGTGGAGTCATCTGCTCTCTGAGGAAGTGTTTGCCCCCTCCCTCCACCCCACACCCTCTGCCCAGAACTCTGTATAGACACAGCCCCCCCCCCCACAAGGGCACAAGTGCCCCATAGAGCTTGGCTAAGCAATCCAGTGGGTATTGACAATTTCTGGTTCCTTAATAAGCACTGCCTTCCACCCCAGCCACTTCCATGCAAGAGCATCAAACACATCGAAACCCTCCCACTCCCCCTAACGCCATACTTTGGGGTCCTGAAGCCACCCCACCCCATCTTAGAAACCGGCAATTACAAACAATACCAGTCCTAAGGTCTCCAGACAGATATATTCTGAACCAAACGCAGATAACACTTTTCACACTAATATTTTGTGGCAACTTTAGGGAAAAGCACCTGAAAGATGGTCAGATTGTTGGCTCTGTTCACCACGCTTCCCCTGTGCCTAGAAAAGTGCCTGCGCTCTAGCTCAATATTGAGCAAATGCCCAACAGGCATTTGCTGCCTTAAACTTGGCCTCCATCATTGGATTGTATTCACGAGCTTCCTGAGGGCAAAGGCTGTCCTTTTGCCCTCGGCTGGGACGTGGCACACAGTCAGCACTGGAGACAGGCTGTGGCCTTCCTTTACTAAGGAAGTAACCAGTCTGGATGTTTCGTTACCTGTGGCCATCCAATCTGGCTTGCCCTGTGCTCTGGTGTACATCTATTCATTCCGTTTCCCTTTCTAGTCTCTGAGATCCCTGAGGATGGGGGCCATTTCTTATTCATTTCTTTATTCCCAGCACCTAATGGTAAGTAAACAGTGGCTGAATGACAGAATGCCATTTCATGCAGAGAACGTACCATCAAAGAAATCCCACCAATTAGGAGTCAGAGGACCTGGGTGTTTCCTTGGCTGGCTGTGAGCCTTTGGGGGAATCACATGGCCTCTCTGGGCTTCAGATTCCGCTAGGGTAAAATGAAGAGGTTGGGGGAGATGAATTCTGCAGCTTATTCTTTTAGGGGTCTACTGGAAGTGTCAATTAGACTATGATGGAGACATAAGGAGGGAATCTGGCAGTGAGCAGGGGACCCATACGTCAAAGTTCTCCTTTCAGAATCCTTTTAGCCCCAGTCACAGCTGGATTCTGTTGTTGGCAGGAGTTTTTGATTAAGCACATCAATCTGTTTCCCTTGGGGTAACAGCTACACTAAGCATCACTAGGCACTACCTGAAAAATGAATCCACTGTCCCCTTATTTCAAAAAACATGGCAACAACCACTTTGAAAAACTGTTTGGCAGTTTCTTATAAAGTTAAACGTATGCTTACCATATGAGCCAGCAATCCCACTTCTAGGTACACAGAACTAAGAGAAACGAAAACATATGTCTGCACAAAGACTCCTACGTGAGAGTTCATAGCGGCTTTATTTATAATAGCCAAAAAGTGGAAACACAAATGTCCATCACCAGGAGAATAAATAAACTAGCTGTGACATTTTCATACAATGGAATGTTCTTCAGCAATAAAGAGCAACAGGCTACTAATCCACCCAGCAACATGGATGAATCACAAAAACATTAAGCTGAGTGAAAAAAGCCAGACCACATATTATATGATTCCTCTTACATGAAACAGACACACAAAAAAATCTATGGTGATAAAAGTCTGAGCAGCGGTTGCCTGTGGGGTGGAGCTTGCGGAGGGGCACGCAGGAATTCTCAGGGATGCTGGAAATGTCTTAACATCCTGACGAAGGTGAAGGTTACATATGGGCGTATACATTCGTCAGAGCTCATCCAATTGTATACTTAAGATCTGTGCATTTCACTGAAGGTAAATTATTTCTCAGTGGAAAAACACATGATCTATTCAGGTACTTGGACTTGTAGAAATAAACCAAAGGAATAATCCTTGAGCATGTTATGGGATAAGTCAAAGTACTATAGGATCTCACTGACACGTGGAATTTTCAAGAACCAAACTGGTAAAAATAGAGAATAAAATGGTGGTTCCCGGAGTGGGTGGGGGGACAAGACAAATGTTTAAGAGAACAAACGTGGGGTGTGGGTATAGCTCAGTGGTACAGCGCGTGCTTAGCAGGCATGAATGAGGTCCTGAGTTCAATCCCCAGTACCTCCATTAAAAAAAAAAAAAAAAGAGCAAGAGAACAAATGTGCAACAAGTAGTGAACAAGCCCTAGAGATGTAATGAACAGTGCAGTGAATACAGACAACAATATTATATTATAATCATCAAACTTGCTAAGAGATGAGAACTTAATTGTTTCAATCTCTAAAAACCAAAGATAACTATGCATCTTGGTGGAGGTGTTAATTATCGCTGCAATGGCATCCACATTACGCTATATAAATGTATCCAATTAACATGTCGTACCCCTTAAAGCGACATAATGTTATATGTCAAATATATTTTTTAAAAACCAAAATAAAGAAACAAAGTGACGGTGTTATGAATTATACTTTATGAATTATAAAGTAATTATAAAATGTGGAGGCAGCAGTTTTTCTAAAGCTGCAGTTTACAGAATTACCTATTCTGTGCCAGAAGTTCTACATATATTTTCTCCACTCTTTACCGCCCTCAAAGTAGGTCTTAGTATCCCCATTGTAGAGACGAGCAAATTCAGACTTAGAGAAGGGAAATCAAGTGCCCAGGCCACACAGCTCGGGGGTGGCAGAGCTGGGGTTTGAACTCAGGTCCTTGGCTTCAATATCCTTTTGCCAGCATCCCTTTCTATCTAAAGACTAAGGTCCCTTCCCTTCCATGGACTCTGGCCAGGACCCTAGACGAGGGAGTGCAGGCAGGCCGTCCGCGTGCTCTCTCCGGCTTCTCCTGGAAGCTGTCACCTGCAAGTGCTGCTTAGCACCTCTGTGGGCTGTGCCCTCTTACTCTCTTCCCGGCGGCCGCTGCTCTAGGCTCAGGCTTAACACAGCCTGCAGCCTATCCTTGCTGTCTCCCTGGAGCCATGAGAAGCGGCTGGCCAGACCCTTGGGACACATGAAGCACGTTCCTCACCCCATCAGGCAGAGATCACGGAGCCCATAGGCCCACCGGCCGCAGCCAGGAAAGCACAGATAAAGTCAGAGCCATGTCTCAGCCTCTCACGTCAGGGGCCTCAGACATTACACAACTGCGGATCCAGAATAAACCCCAAGTCCTTCCTCTACTGATCGCCAAACACACAGACACAGACTCAACAGAAAGCCACGGGTTACGTCTCCGGACCCAGCTCGCAAGCAGCTCTCCCTGCTGTCCTCAGACCTCAGTGAAGAAAGAGGATCTGTGTTTTCAGGGTGATTCCAAGTCTGAGAACTGTTATCCGGTTTCATCCTTTGCAGAACTACATCCCACTGCACCACTACAGAAACCGGAGCAGTTTCTTCCCCACCTGAGCCCTCTGTGAGGGGGCTCTTTATTCAGGGGTAAATTGGCAGGTTGGGTCCAGCTTAGAAGAGGGGTGCTGCAAAGCTGGAACTGGGGGGAGATCAACGAGGCGGAAGGAAGGCGGAAGGTTTTCCTAGAGAAGGTGTTTCTGTACCGGCGCCCGGCTATGTAGGAAAAGCCACTTGCAGATAAAACCCCAGGGCTAAGCTTTGCCCAGCTGTGCGGTTCGAACAGCATAATGACAAAAGGACATTCTAGCTTGTAATTTCTCCAACGCATAAAATGTAAAGACATCAAGCAGACCTCAAAATGCTGCCCAGTCTTCTGCACAACTATCTTAACATGGAATCCAATACCAGTGGTTTGGCCTCAACTCTACCAGTCTGCCCACCTGGACACACTTACCATCCTTCTGCGAAATGGTACCCAGCAGCCTGAGGGTAGCGTGGGGAATCAGAGAGGTTGTCACAATGATCACTTGGAACAAAAACCCCAAAGGGACAATATTGTATCTCATTGAGCAAAGCATGTGATGCCCCCTACTAACCCCCTCCACCGCCCCAATTCCTTCCCAGTTGAATTTCCATCCCTTCTGCCTCCCCCAGAGTCCCCAGCTCTCTTACCTTAATTCTCGACCATCGGCTGAGGCAGAACAAGATGCTATGGCTGGGCAAATTTGCGTTTTGATGGCTGGAGCTGCCTGGCCCGCTTTAGAGCAGCGCGGGCCCAAGCAGGGCCTGGCGATTTTGTGCCCTCCCCTCGCAGCTTTCTACCCCTCTAGCTGAGCATATACAAGGCATTTCCTGCTAGCTATCTATTAAGAATGCAGAAAATGTACTCCAACAAGTCAATCGGGTTGGGCACCTGCAGGAATGAGGAAAGTAGGTAGTTCTTTTTTATTTCTTTCTTTTTGCATTAAAAAAAAGCACTTAGAGATATTGTCTCAAAGTGGGCGGCCGATTGTTTGCCCGGAAACCACACACGGAGTAGCAACATCCAAAGCGTCAGTCGTCAGTCGTGGGGCTGGGATTAAACGGATGTGAATTTCAGTCCCGGGAACTGAGAAAATCAGTTTGGCTTGTCACTCACGTCTTCCTCTCTCCCCATGGGAAGAGAAGAGGAGCCCAGCTCCCTAGGATTCTGTACTTTTTGCAACTTCCATGGGTCCCAGAGGGATTGAGGACTTCTTTGAACCTGCAATAGATGAAGCAGTTCAGGGACTCCACTGGAGGTTTGGCGCCAAGGAGTCCCAGTCCTCATTTTGAAAAATCTTCAAGGGGGTAAGAGGTGGGGTGGAATAACTCAGTGGTAGAGTGCATGCACGCATGCACAAGGTCCTGTGTTCAATCCCCAGCACCTCCATTTAAAAAAAGAAAGAAAAGAAACAAGAAAAATCTTAAATATGTCTTCAGTAAGTGGCACCATCATTCAGACCCCAAGCCCTGGAGCCGTTTGCTCCTTCCATTCTCTATTTCAACCATACCAATTTAACAGATATTTAAACACCAATGACTAGGTACCAGGCGCTCTTCTGGGAGTTCTGCTCCATAGTGAACAAAACAGATCAAATCCTTGCTGTCATAGAGTAAATACATACATGACATATGACATGTGTACATTACATGTACTTGTCACATGGCAATAAGTACCACAGAGAAATTCATTAGGAAAATGAAGCAGGGAAAGGGAATAGGAAGTGTCTCATTTATACAGGGCGGTCACGAAACAATTTTCTGATAAGGTGACATTTGAGCAGAACCCTGAGGGGAAAACCTGCTCTCCTGCTCTCTGGGGGAACATCTAATACAAAAGGTGGCATCATGCTGGGCTGGCCATTCACAGAAGGACGAGGGGGCGGGCGTGGCCGGGGAGCCGGGAGTGAGGAGAGCCGGGCCATGCTTAGACTGGGGGCTTTTCCTCTAAGTGAGAAGGAAATCCGTTGGAGAGGTGGGAGGAAACCATCAACAAATCTTGAGACGCAAATCCTTCCAAACGTATTCCAGTCCTACTTTTCTTGACACTCACTGCCCCCTTGCTCATCCACATCCACATCCCCATCCCCATCATTTCTCCCCAGAACCACTGCCAGAGCCTTCTAACTGACGCAGTGCTCCCACTCTTCCCCCTCTCTAATCCTTCACCCCAGGACAGCCACAGCGAGCATTTGAGAACATGCACAGAATCCTGTCAGTCCTTGTTGTGAACGAAAAATACTGCAAACCGTATCAATAAACAAAGAACGCTGAAGCCATCAAGTCATCAGTGGCTGCCGCCACCCCCACAGTGAAGACAAGCCTGCAGCCCGGCCTCTGCAGCCACTCTTAATGGTGCACTCTGAGGGGACTCAGAATAAGAAAGGACAAGATATGGCCCTAAATAGCTAGGTGCTTATCAAAGGAATGAATTCAATGAGCCCAAATGTTTGCTTCCTCCCATACATAGAAAAGCACTAAATTCTTTAACCTGAGATGCCTGGTTTTCTTCAGTTAACAAGTAATCTTTTAATGTTCCAACTACCTGGTCTTTGTTGTAAAGCTCCTCCTATATATCCTAGCTCCTCCCCTGCCTCTTCAGAGCAGTCCGTCAGAGTGATCTGGGAGGCTGTCATCCTGGGCTCGAAGGGGTTCAAGTCTTCAGAAATGTCCGCCAAATAAAACTTAACTCTCAACTTTTAGGCTGTGCATTTATTTCAGTCAACATTGTTTAAGAGCTTCTAGTGGCGTTTCTATCTGTCTTGCGGCCCCGGCCTTGCTCCCTGTCCTGCTCTGTCACCACTGTCCCTGTAGCTCCACTCCAGCCCCACTGACTTCCTGCCTGGTCCTCAAACAGGTTAAACACCCTCTCATCTTCACCCTTGACATTTTCTCTCCCTGGGATGTTCATTCCCCAGATATCCTCCAGACTTGCTCTCCCCATCATTTAAACCTCTGTTCAGTTCTTTCCTCCAAGAAGCCCTCCTTAACCATCCTTTTCAGATCAGCAGCCTCTCACACTCTCCATCCTATTACCCTGCTTCCTATTTCTTCCAGGCACTTTTCACTTCTTGACATCATTTTTGCATATTTATTCATTTATAGTTGGTCACCCCATCTAAAATAATGCCTGGTATGTAGTAGAGGCTCAGCAAATATTTGCTGAATGAATGAATGAGTAGTGGGGAAGAGAGAAATTAATTCAAGTATTCACACAAATAAATATACAACCACAATGGTCATCAATCAATATCGGGTCCCAAGAGAGCCTCTGATAAGGGGCCTTGACTTCATCAGGGAAGGCAAGGGAGCCTTCCCTGTGGAAATAACTCTCCAGCTGAGATCTGAGCGGCTGAGAAAGAGTTAACCACACAAAGAGGGGAGGGATGACTGTTCCAAGCAGAGCAAACAGCACGTGCAGAAGCCTTACGGCGGGAGGGGCCTGGCAAATACGAGCAACAGGAAAAAAGAAATGTAGACAGAGGGAGAAAGTGTACATGGTGAGCTGGAAAGGTTAGCGTGGCTAGAGCAAGTAGGGCTTTGCGGGCCATACTGAGGAATTTTTGTCTTCTTCCTAAGAATAATAATGAGCTGTTAAATGGTTTTCCGGAGATACGTGCTGAGGAGAGTGGGGAAGAGGAGCGGGTGGGAAGTGACCTAATCAGATAGGCGTTTGGAAAACATCGGTCTGACTGCAGTGTAGACACAGGATGGAGGGAGCACGTGGACGTGAATTGAGCAGTTAGAGGGCGGTTCCCATAGTCTAGGGGAGAGGATGGGAGCTGCATCTGGAGGTTGAGGGGAGAAGAGAGAGAAGTGGGTGGATTCAAGATGTATTTAGAAAATAAATCGACAAATTTGATACTGAATTGGCTCTAGGGAATGCGGGGTACCCAGGATAACTCCTAGGTTTGGGGGTTGCATAACTTGACTGATTAGTGTGCGTGTCACTATGGAACATTGTAAGCGTGTCTTTTTTAGGAGAGAAAATAAAGGTTTCTGTTTGAACGTGTTGATTCCGAGGCATCTTTGAGCTAAGGAGGAATGACAGTAACCAGGAGGGAGAGAGGTTTGAGTCGGAGGTATAAATTGGGAGGCTGATCTTACATAGATGCCCACTGGAGCCTTGGGCTGTAACTCACCCAGGAAGAGCAGAGAGTGAGACACAAAGAAGAACTGAGCCACTTTAAAAATAAGGAATAGAACAACCAAGACCTGCTTGTGTAACCACAACACTTACTGGCCTGGTGGAAGCCATGAGCCAGCAAACATTATTGAGAGGGAACGGCCAAGTAGGCAGGATCAGTAAACATCAGGAGAGGCTCAGGATCCTACAGCCCAAAGAAGGGCATGTTTCAAGGCGGTCGAATCCATCACCTGGGTCAAATGCTACTGGGATGTGGGAGGATCTGATGCCCAAAAAGTTTCTGTTGGATTTAGTAGCCTGGAAGTCATAAGTGACTTTAGTGAGAGCTCTTTGCTGGAGTGATGAGGCCAGAGGCAGACTCCAGTGGGATGGGAGAAGAGGAAAGTTCAGACAATGTGAAGAAAACTTTGCAGGAGTTTGGAGGTGAAAGAGAGTGGAAAGATGGAGCCGAAGCTGGGAGTGGGAGGATGAGGGGTTGAATGACATTGTTGTTCCTTTTTCTTGAAGGGATAGATTTCCACATGATTAAAGGCCAATGGAAAGGATCCAGTTCAGAGCAAGAGACTGAATACACTACAGAAAAAAGGTATTGTTAACAATCTAAAATATCAGAGAAAACAGGAGAGGATGGTATTAAAGTCTAGTAGCAGAATGGGCTTTAAATACAAGGAGGGACTGTTCTGTTGTAAGAGGAGGAAAGAGGTCCAGAATGGTCACAGACATACATCGTGTGTGACCTCGGCACCAGTGGTAGATACTCATTTACTTATTTTCAGTGGTAGGAGAACTGGACTCAGAGGCAAGAGATCTTGACTTTTGTATAGGATCTCCCCCTAAATAGATTCACAGCCTTGGGCAAGTTATTTCTCATTTCTTTGCCCAGTTTTAAAGGGGGAGTGGTCTTTTAGATGATCTCTAAGGTTTCTTACAGCTCTGCTTTCTTCTAAGTAAATCAAGAGAATGTGAAATTCAAAATGTTAGAAAATTAACAACCTGGAATGTCTATTTTTATTGTTTTCAAATGCAGTGCTTACTTCCAGTTCAAGCTGATGGACGTAGCCAATGTATTTAATCTCATCTTCCCCCTCAAATCCCACTAAAATGCCCAGAGAAGTACATGAATAAGAAGAAAATCCAGAGCAGTACTAGAAAGCCAGAAAAAGTATCACTTTCAGACCAGAGAAATAGAACAGCTAATGGTTATTCAGGGCTTTCAGTGAACCAGCTACTGCACTGAACAATTTACATGTATTAAACCACTTAATTCTACAAGGTACGCACTATTATTATCCAATTTTAAACAACGAGTAACCAGAGCCACAGAGAGGTGAAGCGCTCGTCCAAGCCAGGCAGTCTGACTCCACTGTATGTGACCTTTCAGAAACAGTATGAAATTTCTGGAGATTATAGTGTGGAACCCACACCCCACTAACACAGGACGAGGAGAAGGATATTGGAGAAATGATTATGAACCTTCCCAACAGAGCCACAGAAAAGCTCAGAACTCGCAGGGGCTGGGGGCTAGCGTGAGTCACGGAACAGAAAGTGGAGAAGTTAGTTACAGATCTGCCAAAGCAGGGGACTGTTCTCCAGCTCTGTGCGCGTGTCTCGCTGCACTGCTGTCCCCGGCCAGAGCCAGCCAGTGAGAGCAGCTTTCTAAATAAAGTC